TATTATCATACATGCTTATTTGCGATCAACAGAGTGTTTTGTACAAACATTTCATTCTTAATTGTAGACGGACCTTCTGCACCCTGACGCTGATGATTACTCGGTCCGACGCTCCCTTGAGGCGTACCTGTTGTGGTTGTTCGGGTGGGTGATGTTCACTAGCACCCACGGGCACGCTGTGGACTTCCGGCTGGTCCACTACCCACGGTCCATCGCGGATGCTCAGCCACAGGACGTGCCGCAGTGGAGCTGGGGTTCTGCCATGCTAGCAGCCACGTACCGTGCCCTCTGTGAGGCGTGCACGAAGACTGACGCGGGAGCGATCATCGCTGGCTGCCCTATGTTGCTTCAGCTTTGGGCAGCCGAGAGGTTTGCCATAGGTCGACCAGTGGTGGACAGCGCACCCTACGGGGTTGGTCGCAGCACGCAGTGGCCAGAGGACGGTCCCACGATGGGGACTTACTGGTGTCGACGTGGGGTTAGTGCAACTTCGCTGCGTTATAAGTTTATCAGTCGTCTTCTTTTTTTCTTCACATAACATGTCTAATTCCGATCATGTTTATTGCAGCGTCGTTACGCTCACGTCCAGGTGAGACGAGGTTACCCGGACTTCGTGTTCGAGTTTGACCGTCTCCAGCCGAGCGACGTCATCTGGGAGCCGTACACAGAAGAGGCCGTCGCTGCGAGAGCACCGCTAGGACTTTCGTCCTTGTGCACACGCGATCAGGCTTACTGGCTCACCATCCTGCCGATGGTGTTCGACATTTTCGTTGAGCCTCACTGCCCGCAGCGTGTGATGAGACAGTTCGGACTTAGGCAGGTGTTTCCGGGTAACGTGCAGCCGACCGTCCTCCCTGCCGACCACTCGTGAGTTCGGATTGTTCATTTCTAAATTTTTATGATACTTACTTCATCAAGCCATATAATTTACCTCTCTTCACAGGTTGACTCGACGGGGACAGCTAGCAGGCGCACTTTGGGCTCCACGTGTACAGCAGTACGTTGACGACTGGGTGTTAGCTACAGAGGAGGTGATCAACGAGCTCTTCCCACACACGGAGGAGAACTACCGTGACTACCTTCGCTGGTACCTTCCTCGCACTCGTGCGCGTGTGACCTTCACTCCAGACGCCCCAGAGCCGCACGTTGCCGCTGTCACGGACGCGTATCCCACGCACCGTGACCGAGACTACTTCGTGGGGGTACGTCGAATTTGTATTAGTTCTTACAATTATTTCATTTATCTTGCATAATATAGGACAACTACTGAATTTTTTATTTCCATCTTGCATAGGCTGATGCCGCACGGGATATCAGTGCCGATATCACCGCAGTCCAAGTGAGGTTGAACAGAGGTTTGCACTTGACTGACGTTGAGCAGAGGGTGACCTTCGACCGGATGCAGGAGAAGATGCGTGCGGTCATGCGCGTCTTCTCCTGTCGCAGCGCCGTGGACGTCGTACCTCCAGCTGGTCCGGTACAACCACGGCCTCGCGCGCCTACCGTCGGAGCAGGACCTCGACCTACGGCACCTGTTTCGCACGGTACTGCTTAGCCCAGAGGTTTCTTAAGTTTTGTTTATGTTTTTGTACGAAAACATCACCCCGTCGTAACTTGATGTTCCATCCTCGCAGGACCTCGTTTGCCTTCGAGCGCCCCTAGCTTCGGAGCAGTGCGACCTACAGCACCGGTTTCGCACGGTACAGTTCAGCCCAGAGATTAGTTCATTTTTGTTTCAGCTTTTGCACGAATATGTCACCATGTTTTAACTGCATGTTTCCTCATCGCAGGACCTCGTCTGCCTTCGAGCGCGTTCGCAGGCACGACCGGCGCTTCCGCGAGCTCCGCAGGGGCGTTCGCCACCTCTTCGGGCGCGTTCGCCAGCTCTTCCTCTCACGGAGCGTCGATCCCTCGCCCACACGGTACTTTACTTTTTATTAATACTATTAAATACATGTATGAAACTGATGGTCCTTGTCCAGCAGGATTTGCAGCCGGGATCTTCGGTACTGGGGCCTCTTCGTCTCACGCCGGTAGGACTGGTCCTACTAGCCAGTTCTACGACGACGACTTGCACGGTGCACACCACCACGACGTACTAGGCTCCTCTCAGCTTGGAGGAGCTCCAGAGGCGCACACTCAGGAGCAGCCAGAGGTCACACCTGTATAGGCAGGACGGGTTGCCCGTGCCGTACCCCCGGACCGACTCACGTACTCCCAGGGGCACATTAGGGCACAGGGTAGGAGGGACAGGGGTAAGAGGCCTCGTCAGTAGTGTTCTACCTCTTCAGTCCTTATGTGACCGTTTCTTTTGGCTTACAAACTTGTAAAGCAGTACTACTTTTGCTATTACTACTGCAGTACTACTTGTGTTTGTCTCGTCTACATAGTTCTTTTCATTCATATGGTGCTAGAACAACTTATGCTCACGACAACACACTTTCGTACAATGGATTGACACAGTCAGAGTTACTTCAAGTGGCGGGCCGATAACGCAACCTGAACCGACCATACAGTTCATTCATGCTTGGATGGAGTACGAACGTCGGGTGGAAATTGCAAGCTTAGACTGGAGGAACAATCCATTAGGGTTACATAAATGGTCCGAGCGTCCAAAGTGTGGGTGCAGAGATCGCTGGCAGGTGGCTACATCCTTTGCTGAACAAACATTTCGAAGGAGATATTTTGTCTGCCCCAATGTAGACAACGATTTCGTTGTATGTCTAACCATTTAAAAAATCCGCTATGATTTGCACAAAATTACTACCCAAACTGAATAACATTACTATTTTTACAGGGCAATCCAAGGATGGGTGGATTTACTCGATGGATCGACAATGTCACTCCATCATATCATGGCCAGAAGATAACAGAGTCAGAAACACAAGTAGAGTATCAACGATTGAAGGACCACGAGAATGCAATGCATTCTGACCGACCTAGAAGGGGCCGATAATTTACCGCATGCTTGATTCGTCGGGATCGACAAATTTGTACCGTGTATCGATGGCACTTCTTATCTATCTTATCATTACAATGTTTAATTATGGTGGTGATTTTTTGTATGCGTAAGACTAAGGGCCTATTTGGATTGCTACCAAAAACATGCCCTACCAATATTTTGGTAATTTGAATAGTACTTGTGTTTGATTTCGATTGAAGCCTATTCATTGGTAATACGTAATCTAGATTTGAGATTATGTAGAACATTCTTCACTACAATTTTACATTTTGGCAGCAAACCAAATATGATCAAATGCAATTTTACCTTACCAAATATTTGGTAGTGCCAAAACTTGCTTATATTTTGGCACTAACAAAATATTTGTACGGTAACATTCCAAATAGGCCCTAAAAATAATAAAATTGTATTTTACCAGTCTTGGAGATTTTAATCTTGTATAGTTTTCAATATAAAAAAATTTGATAACTATTGATATTTATAAAAAATATAAAGCACAGTATAAAATCGCCCTCCCCCAGGGCGGCAAGGGGGCCGCCTGCAAAATTCCAGGCCCCCCGCCGCCCATTTGCAGGTGGCCCCCCGCACAGTACAAAATCGCCCTAGCGGAGGGCGGCAAGGGGGCCGCCTGCAAATTTCGTTGATAGCCGTCGCCCGAGAGCGAACGGCCGTCTGCCACGTCACTTTCGCCGCCCTCTGGGATGGCGATTTTTAAAAATCGCCCTCCCAGAGGGCGGTAGGCGACCACTTCTGTCAATTTTCAAAATGAAAAATTATTTTTGTAAAACTTTTAATAAAAAAAATTAAAAATAAAAAAAATTCGAGAGAGAACAGGTTAATTCCCTTGAGGATCTAGAAAAGAACTTGAGCCTGCCCAGCTCCAGCACAAATACGGCTCAGCTAGCCCGAGTAAGTTGCCTGAGATTTTAGAACATGCATGCTCAATACGCCAACATGGACAGTGGTCTCATACCTCATATTGGAGATGAGCGTCCGTAATAGTGGGGATCGTGGTCTCATGATGTCACACGCGACCTGTAGAGGTCGTGCTCATCTCAGCTCGGTTGCTGCAAAGCTACAGGTCGGAGCTGTGTGTTGGACAAGTCCGGAGTCCCACGAGACATTTGGATGGGAAGGAAAAGAGAAGCAGAGGAGGATTTGCCATGGTCGTCTTTGCCGCTCCCCACCACCACGAAGGACGACTCCTGGCATGGTTGTCGTTGCTCTTCATTGCCGCAGATTCGGTGAGCTCGCGACCAGATCCGATCCGATAAGCTCATAGCTAGATATGCCACCATATCCAGCGTCACCGCTTGTAGAGAAGGGATGAAGTGAGAGGCCGGCGGTGGAAGAAAAGCCAGCCATGGTGGTGGATGATAAGGAGGGGGAGAGACGTCGTTGCGTTTAAAAATTGGAGGTAATGACATCAAGAGAAGGGGATGGTGTTTGGGTTAGTGGCAAGTGGGGATAAGGGAAGGGTGGGGTGGGGGACATAGAAGAGGCTAACATCTACGTATTTATTTTGTTGTTATATGGTCTCAAATATAAAAGTTTAAGTTGATTTGATAATGATAATTATGCAATGGCCGACATATAAATGGTTAGGAGCTGAAATAAAATAGATAAAGGTAATCTCTATTATTGAAGGAAACATACAATAGATAAAAGTAGTCTCTATTATTGAAAGTTATGTGACATTTATATAGTAAAAGATATAAAATAGATAAAGGCTCTGATCGTTTCCTGGAGTTCCCAACTCCCCCATCTCATTTTCCGCGCGCACGCTTTTCAAACTGCTAAACGGTGTGTTTTTTGCAAAAAGTTTATATACAAAAGTTGCTTAAAAAAATTATATTGATCCATTTTTGAAAAAAAAATTAGCAAATAATTAATTAATCACGTGCTAATAGACTGCTTCGTTTTCCGTACCGGAGGGATGGGTTCCCAACTCAACCAAAAGAACAGAGCCAAAGGTTAGTCTCTATTATTGGAGGTTGTGTGACATTTGTATATAGTAAAAGATATATGTATCTACGGTGAAGAACCAATGATAACAGACCAAATGAGGGGAAAGTAGTGTGCAATTTTTCTCCTGTAGAGCAGAGAAGTGCGATTAGGCATGTGGTCCAAAATCTTGCCGAAATCAACCAAAACACAAGTCGCACAAAGTCACAACCTTGAGCTCAGGTCAGGCGTTTTAGCTCAAGGAGTCAAGGGTAGCAATCCGGAGTAGTGGCGACTGGCGAGCCCTGATATCGGGCAAACTGGTCGTCATGGAACCTGGAAGCAGCAGTAGGGAGGGGGAGCAGCAGGAGCCAGCAAACGAACGACTAACCGCCACCGGAGGAGGAGGAGGAGGAGGAGGAGGAAGCCCTGTCTCAGATCAGGAACTCTCGGATGGTGAGGAAGTGTCTGATGGTGAGTATCAGGCCGGCGACGATTTCTCTGGCTACGCGGTCCGGGGCCGGGGGTTCGTCGAGAAGGAGCACATATTCGACAAGGTGGTGACGCCCAGCGACGTCGGGAATCTGGGCCGGCTGGTGATCCCGTGGCAGCACGCGGAGTGCTACTTCCCGCGGGACGTACCCGCGAACGAGAGGGAGGGCGTCGTCCTCAGATTCGAGGACGATGCCGGCAATTCATGGCGTTTCCTCTACCGCGGCAGCAGCTTGACGTTGGGATGGAGCCACTTCTTCAGGAAGAACCGCCTCGACGCCGGGGACATGGTCTCCTTCTACCGTGGCGCCAGCGAGGCCACCCGTGACCGCCTCTTCATCCACTCGAAGCGCCGGATGCACATTCTCCCTACTCTAGGCTACTCAGACCCTCAGGTTCATATCAATCGCCTCTTTCAGCTGCTGGTTCGGGTAAGAACCATGGTTTCATCCTTCGGTAAATCTGGGTCGCCGTCGCCGCCCAATTCTCCGCTTCCTACAGTTCAAAATTTCACCTACAAAGCGCTAAAAGATTGCCTCCAAGATCTGCACTACTACAGCCTCCTGTCCATGATGGGGAGAAACCACAAAAGTCAGTCAACATCCGCAAAGATCCGTGATACTATTCCTACGCTTGATGCTTTGATACAATTACGAAGCCTGTCAGATCCAGTTTTTCGTATTCCCGCCGCAGCGACGTCGCATTGCATCCTCTTATGCCGTGGTGTTTTGGGGATCATGGGCTTCCTATGCTCTGATGAGAATATGAAGGAGGATCACCGGATGCTTCAGGTTCCTGCTTTTGATGATCTGAACTACTCTGCCCAAGACAAGATTACCAGGATGAAAGAACAGACAATGCCATCATCCCTGGCTGACCCCATTTATCTGTTGCCCACAGCAATCAGGAACCTGCTGTATTTGGACCTCTCAAATTGCAGTGACATTGTACAACTGCCTCCTTCCCTGGGATCATCACTTCATATGCTCTCTGCACTAAACCTCTCTTGTTGTTATTCTCTTCGTGCGTTGCCGGATTCACTAGTATGCCTGTACGACTTGCAGATTCTGCTTCTTTCCTTCTGCCACAATCTGCAAAACCTTCCGGTGTCATTTGGTGATCTTTCTAATCTCAGGCTGTTGGATTTGTCGGGCTGTCGCAGTCTTAGATTGTTCCCTTCTTCTTTTGTCAATCTGGGCAGTCTAGAGAACTTGAACTTATCTGACTGTATAAGGCTGATGGGCATTCCACAGAATTTTGAAGATCTTCAGAAGCTCGAGTACTTGAATTTTGCAGGATGCTACAGAGTGGACCTGCCTGTTTACTGCCTAACCAACCTTGTTAATCTGAAGTGCCTAACTCTGTCAAACCACACTGATATCAAAGATTTTCCTTATTCCTTCACTGATCTTAAAAGACATCTATACCTGTCAAGATGGTGGAAATACAACTGGGTACATACCCAATGCAACCTAAAGGTATGCTGCTTCTCTTTTTTCTTAAGCTTCAGATCAAGTGTTTTTTAACAGGCTCAAACCTTTGCAAACGTACTCTAAATGTGCAATGTCATTAGTGGAGCAGTGCTTGTTTTATACCATGCCTTTAATACTCTTTTAAGTGTGAAATCTTCTTACTCCAGAAGCTAGTTTTAGTTTATAATCTGTTGATTTTCCTTTTAAAAAAAGATCTAACGTGTAAACATCAACCAAACAGACAAATCTTTTGCAGTCCTATAGGTGTCACCAGCAAAGAATAATTAACAGCTTACTGTCAGATGGTTCTGATGAGGGTGACATTACTAGTGAGCAGAGTCTCACATCTATCTGTATATTTGGTGAAAGAGGCACAGGGAAGACTGAGCTACTCCATGAAATTTATAATGATCAAAAAATTTTAGAGGGTTTTCATCTGAGGATATGGATAAATATGTGTGACAAAAAGAGGCTATTGGAGAAGATCATAGAGTTTACAGCTTGTGCCTATTGCTATGATGCCCCATCAAGCATTCTTGAAGAAACTGTAAGAGAAGAGCTTAATGGCAAGAGATTCTTACTTGTACTGAATGATGCTGATATTGAAAACCAATGTTTCTGGACAGATGTATGGAAGGTATCAAATGTTGGTGCCGCAGGAAGTGCTCTTATTGTAACCACAAGGAGCAAAGAAGTGGCTAGCCTATTTGGAGCAATGAAACCCTATTACATGAATCCCCTATCTAAAGAAGAATGCTTTATGGTCTTCCAGGAACATGCTGATTGTGGTTTTGATATTAATAATGACCATGAGTTAACAAAAGTTGGCTGGAAGATTGTTGAGAAATGTGGTGGTAATCTATTGTGTATGAAGGCTCTAAGCGGGTTATTATGGCATTCTAAAACTGCTTTGTCTGAAATCGATTCGCTTGTTGGCGGTATTGTACCAGCACTAAGACTCTGTTATGATCTTCTACCGTCACATCTGAAGCAGTGCTTCAAATTCTGTTCCCTGTTTCCAAAAGACTATGTTTTCGTCAAGCATCACATCATCCAATTATGGATCTCTCAAGGTTTTGTATACCCTGAAGAAGATAGTCAACCAGAAGACACTGGCCTGCAGTATTTTAATGAGTTTCTCTGCAGATCATTTTTCCAACACTGCCCCTTTAGTAATGATCATGAAGACAAATTCGTTATGCATGAGTTATTTCATGATTTGGCACGTTCCGTTTCAAAGGATGAAAGCTTCAGTTCAGAGGAACCATTTTTCAGCCTTCCTGAAAATATTTGCCACCTTTCACTTGTTATTTCAGATTCCAATACTGTTGTGTTGACAAAAGAACATAGACATCTGCAGTCCCTTATGGTTGTCAGGAGATCAGCAACAGAGTACTCAAGTTCCTTTGTGCCACTTTTGAAAATATTGGGTTTGAATGATCTTCTGATGAAATGTGGATTTTTAAGAGCATTGAATTTGAGCTGTACAACAATAGTAGACCTGCCTGGTTCAATTGGGAGGATGAAACACTTAAGATTCCTGGCTATGAACAACACAAAGATCAAGAGTCTACCAACTGAAATAGGTCAATTGAACACCCTTCAGACATTGGAACTCAAGGATTGTTGCTGCCTCATTGAGTTACCGGAAAGCACGAAGAATTTGATGAAGCTGCGACACCTTGATGTTCAAAAGGAACCAGGAAATATTCATGTTGGCATGCCTTCTGGGCTCGGGCAGCTAACTGATCTACAAACACTAACGGTATTTAATATTGGGGATGATTTATCACATTGTTCAATTCGGGACTTGAAGAATCTCAGTGGACTAAGGGGACATGTTCATATAACAGGGCTTCAAAATATTACTGCAGGTGATGATGCCAAAGAAGCAAATCTAGTAGGTAAGCAATTCCTACAAGCTTTGACACTAGAATGGTGTTGCAGCAGTGAGGAAATGGAAGATGAAAGTGACAAAGAAATTGCTAATCAGGTCCTTCAAAATCTTCAGCCAAACACTAGCATTCAAGAGCTAGCTATTCAAAATTATCCTGGCAATTCGTTCCCTAATTGGATTAAGGATTCAGGGCTTTGCATGCTTGTTTCAATTACAATTGACAACTCGCAAGACTGTAATGAGATCCCGTACCTTGGTGACCTGCCATGTCTTAAATTTCTCTTCATACAGAAAATGTATGCTGTAGAAAACTTTGGACAAAGAAGTAACTCTTTGACTACTGATGGTAAACATGCCCCTGGATTCCCATCACTGGAGATACTGAATCTGTGGGAGATGTATTCTTTGCAATTCTGGAATGGAACAAGATATGGGGATTTCCCACAGCTTCGAGGTCTCTCTATCAGTAGATGCCCAAAACTCAGTAATTTACCACCCCTGATTTCCCTGCTATATTTGTCATTTCACTGTGGTGATCAACTGCCAGCCTTGTCAGAATTTCCATCACTCAAGTCACTGAAGATTGAAGGCTTTCAGAAGCTCAAGTCTGTCAGCTTCTGCCCTGAGATGCCATTGTTACAAAAATTGGAGATAAGTGATTGCAAAGAGTTAGTATCAATAGATGCTCCTTTGTTGTCTGTTTCAAATTTAAAAGTTGTCAGGTGCCCAAAACTTCATTTTGGAGGCAGTTGGCTCGAAGGCTGTCTCATGTGGGAAGAGTTTAAAAGGTAAACAAATATATAAGTTTATACATTATAAATCCGATATAAATATTTGTTTGCCTTTTCTTATCCACTTATCCATAGTTGCCTAGTAACAAAATGATGAGACCAAAAAAAAAAAAAACAATTCTGTCTCAGTAATTTTAATTCATTCTCTCCATGTAAAATATGACCCTACAAACCTGAATATCTATCATATTCTCTAAGAATGCATATATGTTGAACAATTATACTCCATTTAATCACAAACTAGCTGGGTGGCCCGCGCAATTGCGCGGCTAGCACCTATATAAAATTATATTTTTTAGTATGATTTAACTTAAAATTTATTAAATAGTTATCTCATTGTCTTAAGATTTTGAAAGACCAAACCTTATCATCCTCGTATTTCTAATTTTATAGTTTTTAAAAGACACATCAGTTGCTACCCCTTAGCTTGCTCAATCTACCGCTGTTTCTATTCATTCTCCTTGGAACCTTTAAACATTGGATCTAAAAACTTAGTTTTTAGAGTTTATTGTCCTGTTGGGCTTCTTTTTTATAATTTCTAGAAGTCCCGTTAAACACTGCTATTATACTCCTGTACAACCGTCCACTGCATCTTCTCTTTATTATCATTGCTATTTTAAAAATTGAACATAAGTATCATTTAGGTTCATCTTTTTACTTTCTAGAAGTTCCGCCAAAACGTCAATGTCTTTGTCACTGTACTCCTCTATGGCTCACCCGCTGCCGCCCTTCTTTATTGTCATTGAGATTTTAAAATCAAACATGATTATCATTGCGGATTTTTTTTTACTTTTTAGAAGCTCGAACCTTTAAAAATTGAACCTTATAGTTTTTAGAGTTTTATTGTCTCGTTGGGTTTTATGTTTTTTATAATTTTTAGAAATCCCGTCAAACGCTGCCACTATACTCCTGTATGACACGTCCGCCCGGCGCATAATCTTTATTGTCATTGGGATTGTAAAAAATCGAACATAACTATCGTTGGAATTCATTTTTTACTTTCTAGAAGACCCACTAACCATCGGCGGCTCTACTATTGCACTCCTATACAACTCGTCCGTTGCCTCTCATTTTTATTGTAATTGAGATTTTTAAAATCAAATATGATTATCATTGGAGTTTACTTTTTTACATTCTAGAAGTCCCCGCCAACCGCCTTGACTGATTACTTCACGACCTGCCCGTCGTCCTTCCTTTTAATCGTCAATAGGATTCTATTTGGTGTTTTATTAATAGTTTTTAGATGTCTCATCAACCGCCACCACTCTGCTCGTCTATAGGCCTGTTACTTAATTAATCTCATCATGTGTTTTAGATGGTCTTTCCTTTTAATAGTCTTATTTTTTTATCACCAATTTCAGTTATTTATAAACTGTATTCCTAGTTGAAATCTTTTTTTCCTAATTTCAGAATTTATTTTATTTATTATTGTGTTCTTTTGATATTTTTATTTTTTATTTTCAATTTCAGTTGTTTCAAAATTATATTCCTACTTTAACTCTCTTTTTAATTTGCCTAATTTTGGATTTTATTTTATTTTTTATTCTGAATATTAATTAATCTACTATTGGGTTCTTATATGTACTCTTATTTCAATATTACTTATATTTAATTCCGAATTTAAGTTAATTTTAAATTGTATTCCTATTTGAACTCTTATTTTCTTTTTTTTTCTAATTTCGATTTTTTATTTTTTATTATGAATTTTAATTAATCTCGTATTGGATTCTTATATGGACTCTTCTTTCAATATTCCTTATTTTCCGAATTTCAATTATTTATAAATTGTATTCCTACTCAAACTCTTCTTTTTTTCTTTTTCCAATTTTGAAATTTATTTTTTTATTATTCCGAATTTTAATTAATCACGTATTTGGTTCCTATATGGACTCCTCTTTCCATATTGCATATTTTTAATTACGAATTTTAGCTATTTTTAGATTGTATTTCTACTTGGACTCTTCTTTTCTTTTTCTCCGATTAATGTGGGAATTTCTAGCCTCCACAGCGAACGTGATGCCTCCTTTCAAAGCTGTTTTAATAATATATTAGATAGATAGATAGATAGATAGATACTTTCCAGATCACAGCAAAGCAACTTTTACAGTTTGTTCTTACTGTTGTATAATCAACACATTTTTTTGATAAAATATCAGTTAAAGATTAAAGGTTTGATTGTGTGCTTCTCCTTGTAATTAATAACTTTGCTAACAGATTTTATTAATAATAAACACAATTAACGGATTTTTATCTTAACTAATAGATTCTGCTATAATAATAGCCATCCTCCTCTGCAGCTGTTATTCACAGGAAGGTTGATGTGCCTAAAACAATTGTATCAGATCCTTATTGTTCTTTCTTTTTCCTCATACATAGGGATAAATGCACAATAAAATATCTCCTTGTGAACACTATGAAAGATGATGGCTGGAATTGGATAAAGTACGGCCAGAAAGATATAATTGGTTCCAAGTACCAAAGGTGAGAACATGCATCTCTCTTGTTTTGGACTCTACATTCTAAACAGATTTATAGTCAAAGCTAACTTGTTTTGGCTGACTAAATCCTAAAAAACGTACTTTTGTGGTCATCAGGAGTACAAAATAGGTTTTCTAAGCATGTTTTGAGCTATAGATAAAATTTTATGATCATTTTAAAGATTGGAAACTTAAGCATGACTTCCGGCAATTATTTCAGATCATACTTAAGGTGCAACCAGATGCACTCAACGGGATGCAAGGCAAGGAAGATTGTTGAACCTAGCAATGATGATCTGAACATATGGTTGGTAACCTACATATATGAGCACAACCATCAACAACGAGCAGGGCCCACCGACGAGCCGTTGCCTTCTGGTCAGCACGTTCAGCTGGCAACAACACGTAAAAGAAAGGAATTTGATGCATCCAATGATGAAATGACACCAAAGAAACAGTTCAGTGAACAATGAAGTTTTTGTGATTTTTCCTCTGTAAGCTTCCGCTCCTCTCTCACTTGCTTATTCTATACTAGGAGTACAAGCATATGGATACATGGGCCTCTTGGACTACAACACATACAACCTAACACTCCCTCTCAAAGGCGGTATATATCTATCATACACATCTTATTACATAAAGATGTACACTCTTTAACACCTAGAGCTTTTGTTAGACAATCAGCCACTTATTCTCCAGACACTACATAACATAATTCTAAAGTTTCTTTATCCAATTTTTCTTTGATGAAGAAACGATCTATCTCTAGGTGGTTTGTTTGATTATGCTAAACCAGGTTATTGGCAATGTTAATAGTCGACTTGTTGTAACACTAAAATTTCATTGGGGGGAGGGGGCATTCTTCAATAGCTTCAACTCAATCAACAAATTCTTTAACCATATTAATTCACTTACACTCACTGACATGGCTATGTATTCAGCTTCGGCCGTTGAGTAAGACATCACAGGTTGTTTCTTGCTCCTCCAAGGCACCAAGTTACCACCAACAAAAGCACAATAGCCTAAAGTTAACCTTCTATAATCTGGACAACTAGCCCAATCTGCATCACAATAACCTTCCACCCTTAGATGTTTATTTTTCTTGAACCATAGTCCTTTGCCTGGGTGTGAACACCAAATTTGGTAAGCCCCGAAGTCATCATTGGCCTAAAGTCAGTATCGGCTTCAGAGTTCTAGAATCGGTCGGTAGGCACTATCAATCGTCGACAGTTGGATTCTTGATGGGTTCGGTTAAGGAAATTAATTAATTAAAAAAGTTTATCTGGAAGAGACCGAGTTCAAGGAGGATGTGGCATGGTAGCTTATCTATTAATTAGGAAGAGTCTGCTAGTTTCCTTTTATCATTAGGAAAGTGTGTTTATTGTTCGATAAGGACTTTATGTTTTCCTTTTATCTTTAGGAAAGTTTCTTTCTTGTCTAAGAATGGCTAGTATCTACCCATGAGTATAAATATGTACACCTGAGGTCATTGTAAACTATCTCATAGATCAATAAAGTTACAATCGGCGCATCGCCAGCCTCCTTTCCGAGGTTTTATTTATCATCCGGCGGAACCTGGCACCTGACGCGGGGCTGCATCGCCTTTCGATCTCCGGTGAAGGGGTAAGTCCTACGTTTCGCCGGCCCAGGCAATTTTTTTTACGGGTAAAACAACAGGAGAGGCCCAGGCAATTGCATCGGCTACGTTGGTGTTGTTCAAGGCTGCATCGCTTCGATCTCTTAGATCGCTCTGGTTCAATTGATATATTTTCCTACTTATTTATCATATATCTTAGTTAATCTAGTTTGGTAACTTGATTTACTTGTATTGGCTAGGATCTGCTTTAGGGTTTTTTTTGTCGGTATTAGCTAAATTGCTTTGCCTGATTAGATTAGCTAAGGTATCCACCACTCTTAAAATCAGTCAAAGGCTTGATTGTTTGGACTTTATGTTTATTTGCATACTTCGAGTTGCATTGACCTTAGCCATGCTTATAAACGTAAAAACTAACATGCCTTTGATTGTCAATAAGGGTTTCATCGAGGTTTTAGACGATAAGTTATTTGGACGTTGTATCGGCTCACAAGGATTACATACAAGTTAGATTTAGCCGACCGCAACAAAGGTTTCATTGTTTATCTAATCATTTGGATTTAATGGCATCGGACCTTTAGCCGATGTATGCTTTAACCATTGGATCACTTATTCTATCATATCATTGTTAGCCGATTGGTTTCTATTAGACTATATTGTTGTTTTATTATCATTAGCCGATTGTCTTTATATCATTATGTACATTGGACATATAGCCGATTACTCAAAACTCTATCGACATCGGCTAGTATCGGCATTGGCTGAAATTACTCCATCGGCTTGTCAGTCGATCGGCCTCCTGGTGATTAACATATTTGTCTATCTTGTCGGTTGTAGAATCAAATTGACTGGAACGTCCACATCTCATCAATATTTTGTACCTGCACTAGAGCTAAGCAGATCTCCCAAGCTATTGTGTTTGTCGACTTAGTTCGCGCTAACACAGATCTAGCATCATCGGTCGAGCGCGGATTTTTCGTCAACATTAGGCTTCCCTTCAAATATCTTAGGATCCTATACACAGCCTCTATGTGACCACTTTTTGGATCATGCATATATCGGCTCACCACACTAACAGCATATGTTATATCTGGTCGTGTATGGAACAAATATATTAGTCTTCCCACCAACTTTTGATATATCTCTTTATTCACTGGATTTTCGGACTCAGCACACAACTTATGGTTTTGCTCAATTAGTGTAGAGGTTGGTCGACAACCAAGCTGTTAGGGTTACAGATAAGGCATACCCTCCACCCTTGGATATATGTTATACATCGATATGGTATATCTGCGCGTATACGGACGTTCTCTGTACACGCAAAGGAAATTCATCACGGAGTCCACAGATGAAAAGATTCCTACTCGGATAGAACTGGGTCGTCACTGTATCGTGTAGGGTCCGATGTCTCCGAGTCCTACTTGGAGACCACCTGACCTGCGATATAAAAGGGACTCCCCCGGGAGGACCTAAGGCATCGAATCTCATAGCCAAGACAACCACCACAGCCTACGAAGCCGGAGCCTACAGAAGCCAGGTCACCGGGTGATCTAGTCAAACCAACTCGATTACGGTTTCGTCAGTATCATCGAGTTCTGCTATTCCCTTTGTAATCTGTGGTTCCCACTATATAATCCCATACCAACTGGATTAGGGCTATTACCTATCAAGGGGCCTGAACCAGTATAATTCCTGTTTTTTTGTTTCCTTGATGTCGTACTACGTAGATCCTCGTACCAGCGTACCCCAATACCCTCTATATCCGGTCTACGGGTATCCCCCGTCGACACAAGCATACATGTGTCACTGAGCATATCCAATGCATATTTTTTTTTGAAAGTACTATCCCTTTAGTGTATCTTGCAATCTCGATGCCTAATATGTATATCAGCCGACACAAATCCTTAACTTCAAATTCCTTAGATTTTTTTAGTCTTGCTATCTCGATAGAATCATCCCTTGTGATAATCATATCATCCACATACACAGCAAGGATACTAGTGTGACACCTCTTATGGCGATAGAATATTGTATGATCCCCATTGCATTGCTTATAGCCCATGCTACACATTACATGTCTGTTGGTATTTCTTAACGTCACAAATAAAATCCGCAAGCGCACGGAGATACCGATGTAGCACTTCACCCGGGAGTATTCCAAGGTATCGATTTCCACAGGGAACATGTGTGTCAGCTCTTCACCAGGTTCGTCCAAGGACGTGAAGCAAAGGTAGGCAAAGGGTAGAGAGGATTTACTAGTGAGAGACAGTGTCTACAGAAAGCTCAATTTAATCCTAACGCGGTACTTCGGGCGCTGGCCAGCCTGCTGCTCCCAGATATGGCTCTACAATGTACCCAGACAGGGAGGACTTTAGTGTTTTGAGGGCTGTCATTGCCTTTGCACCCACCTCAAACCTACTGTGGGATACGAAGCAAACACCGGAAATTAACTACCTAGACACCACGTCTACGCAGTTTGATAACTACTTTAGCGTTAGCTAAACACAAAAGCAACCACTATATTTTACGAGATTATAGTGATCAGTGATGCTGCACGCTGATTAGGAACTAACCAAGAGGTAACTCTCACAGAATAAATCTTCATTACTCCAAATGATATTCGATTAAAGCAGAGTACTTAATGTGGAGGAAACCGACTGTTAACAGTGAAATTTGGTAAGCCCCGAAGTCATCGTCGGCCTATAGTTAGTATCAGCTTCAGAGTCCTGGAATCGGCCGATGGGAATTATTAAGTCATTAATAGTCGGATTCTTGCTATATTCGTTTAAGAAAATTAATCTATTAAAGGAATCTTATCGAGAAATGAGCGAGTTCAAGGAGGATGCGGCATGGCAGTTTATCTATTAATTAGGAAGAGTCTATTAGTTTCCTTTTATCTTTAGGAAAGTATGTTTAGGTCCAATAAGGACTTTATGTTTTCCTTTTATCTTTAGAAAAGTTCCTTTCTTGTTTGAGAAGGACTATTATCTACCCATGGGTATAAATATGTACACCCGAGGTCATTGTAAACTATCTCTTGATCAATAAAACTACTCTCGGCGCATCGCCACCCTCTTTACCAAGGTTTTTACTTATCATCCGACGGAACTTGGCACCTGACGCGGGGCTGCATTGGTTTTCGATATCCAGCGAAGGGGTAAATCCTACGTTCCGTCGACCCTAGTAATTGTATTGGCTACATTGACGTCGTTCAAGGCTGCATCGCTTCGACCTCTTGGCTTGCTCTGGTTCGGTTGATATATTTGCCTACCCATTTATCATATATCTTAGTTAATCTAGTTTAGTAGCTCGATTTATTTGTATCGGCTGAGATTCACTTTAGGGTTTATGCCGGTATCGGCTAAATCGATTTACCATATTTGATTAGCTAAGGTATCTACCACTCTAAAAATTAGTCAAGGGCTTGATGGTCTAGATATTATGTTTCTTTTCATACTTAGTGTTGCATCAGTACATTCGACTTACTAAGTCGTGCTTAGAACCATAATCTCTAGTTTGCTTCTTGATTGCCAATAAGGGTTTCATCAGGGTTTCAGCCGATGAGTTATCTGGACGTTGCATCGGCTTACAAGGATAGCATATAAGTTGGATTTAGCCGATGATAACAAATGTTATACTGTTTATCTATTCTTGTGGATTTTATGACATCAGACCTCCAACCGATGTATGTTTTAACCATCGGATCATTGCTTATTTTATTATGTTATTATTAGCCGATTGATTTCTATTCGATTATGTTTATCAGCCGATTGTCTTTATATCATTATATACATCAGTGTCGAAGGAAGATCCTCAATAGCGGGGGGTCGTGAAACCCCCATTCTCGTGAGTTCGGCCGGGGGCAGAAGCTCGTTTCATGGAAATCACTCACTCGTCCCTAAGACTAACGACAAGCTTGCACACAGTCGGATTGTACAGGTTCGGGCCGCTGTGGAGCGTAACACCCTACTCCTGTGTTTGGGATTATGGACGAGTTTTACAGAGGTTTCTTCATTCCAGAGAGCGCACTCGCTTTTTTTCTTCTGGAGTTTTGGTTTTCTTCGAATCGTCCCCCCATCTCAGTGGGCAGGGTCCTCCTTTTATAGCTCAAGGGGATACCACATGCGCCGCCTCTACCTACCCTCCATCGGAGAGGGATCCCATTCCACTTTTCTTGGGCTTTAAACCGTGCCTTCTCCCGGAAGCTAAGCAACAACCAGTTCTCGAGTGAAACCCGGCGCCGCCCCCCGCCTCACACGGGGGACAGCCCTGTCATTCCCTCATAAATGAACGATGACTTGTGACGGCCCTTCCTCGAGTGACGCTCGGATGTGACGGGTCATACCCACCCCCACTCCGCCGGGTACAAGGGCGACGTGAGGACATGATTGCCCTATCCATCGGATGTGACGGTGACAGGCCGGTCACAGACCGGTCACATCTGTTGGACAGGGGTTAGCTAGGCGCGCCGCACGTCTACCCTTACCGCATTAAATGCGGTGAGGGACAGTTGGGGCGTCGCACATTTATGGCTGTTCAGCCTATGCTCCCCTCTCGCTCTCTCCCTCCGCCGCGTGGCAGCCGGGTGAGGGCCTCGGGGCGAAGCCACGGGATAGCCCGAGGGGGTGACGGCATGCCCCGAGGCCCCCCCACCCCCTCCCCCCCCGGCGCTTCCACAACTCGCGTGAGGCTTGAGTGGGGCCAACTTACAGAGTCACGTGGCCGGAGGGAAAGTAATTCCCCTCTACTTCACATACCTCTGGGTCCATATCTCCGACAATCAGACTTATAGTCGATTGCTCAAAATCCTATCGTAATCGGCTGGTGGCATAGGCCGCGCAGGTGCCGCTCGAGCATAAGGTCGCACGTGGCTACCGATCGGATCGGTAACATAAACGGTACTGCAAACAAAAGCAATACAATAGCAGATCAGTCTGTATTTAGAAATTAATCTAACAAAAACAACAAATTGGAACGTTAGCGGATCATTAGATTCGTTCCCTGTTCCTCCCACAACAATACAGACATGAGATGATGTATAGAACATCTGCGCCCTTCTTTTGCCTAAAAAACATTGCATAATTAGCCAATAAATACAGTTGTAAATCTCGAGTAAAAACTAATTTTACATGTCTCACCCTTGACCCTTTATATATAGAGGTCTTAAGATGAAATAAACCTCATGTCCACTCCGGTTCGGATTGGCCCACGGAAATTTATCTCTTCTAAATTTGTTTCACAACAGTTGATCTCAGCACCCAGGGACTTAGCATTGTGGCCGGATCTAGATATATATTTTTTTAAATTAATTTATAAAATAAGTTTTTTAAAAGGACCAACCGTCGAAATTTCTGCACAAGCCAAAAGTCTTCGTCAACGCCGCCCAAAGAGCTGTGACGACATTCCTAATCCCTCGTTCGGCTCAACAAATTGTCTGCTTCTCCCTCGCTAATCCTTGATCCCTCGAGGTCCAGCAATGGCTGAGAAACTCATCACCCACGCGCTGCGAGACGCACTGTTTCAGTTCGCGGTCAAGTCCAGGAAGCTGGCGTCTCCGATGTTGCGGGCGTTGGGGCGCGCGTCGACGGGGCCGGTCACCGTCGGCGACGACGAGCTGGCGGCGCTCAGGTCCATGCTCCGCAGGGTCCACGCCGCGCTCCGCGACGCCGACAGCCTGTCCGTCACCGACCACTCCGTCCGCCTCTGGCTCGCCGAGCTCGGCGACCTCGAGTACCGCGCCGAGGACGTGTTCGAGGAGCTCGAGTACGAGTGCCACCGCGCCGCGCAGCTGGAGGACCTCAAGATCGACCTCCTGCGCGCCGCGGCGCTGGCGACGGGGAAGCGGAAGAGGGAGGTCGCGCAGCTGTTCGCCGCCGCGCCGGCCGCGCGCCTCCGCCGCAAGATCGACGACATTTGGGCGAGGTACGAGGAGATCGCGTCAGATCGGAAGAAGCTCCGGCTAAGGCCCGGCGACGGCGCGGCACGGCCGGCGGTCGGTGCCCTCGTGCCGAGCAGCTCGCTCCCCCGTTGCCAGATCCACGGCCGGGAGCGCGACCTCCAGAGGGTCGTCGAGATGGTCTGCCAAAGCCAGCCCGACGGCAGGAGAAACTACGCCGTCGTGGCAATCGTTGGTATGGCCGGCGTTGGGAAGACGTCGCTTATGCAGCACGTCTGCGGCGAGGAGGCCGTCGCGTCGCGTTTCGACCTCGCGCTCTGGGTCTGGGTGTCCCAAGAGTTCGATGTCGTCGGCGTGACGGCAAAGATCGTTGAGGCCATCACCAGGTCACGCCCCGACTGCTCCGAGCTGAGCGCGCTCCACGGAACCATGGTCGAACACCTTACGGGCAAGAGGTGCCTGCTCGTCCTCGATGACGTCTGGGATGACAACCCCAACCATTGGGACACCATCACCGCGCAGCTGAGCTTCTGCGCGCCGGGGAGCACAGTCGTCGTCACGACCAGGAGCAGGATGGTCGCCAAGATGGTTACCCCCAATGTGTACCATCTTGGCTGCTTGTCCGACGAACACTGCTGGCTCGTGTGCCAGCGACGTGCATCGCACGGGTGCACCACCGCCACCATTGATGATGAGCTTACCAACATCGGCCAGCAGATTGCAAAGAAATGCAGAGGCGTACCATTGGCAGCAGAGGCAGCAGGCACAGCCATGAGCACCTCAATCACCAGGAAGCACTGGACACATGTACTGAATAGCAACCTGTGGGCAGACAATGATGAGGCCAAGAACCATGTGCTGCCAGCACTCAAGGTGAGCTATGACCATTTGCGCCATTGAAACGATGCTTCGCCTTCTGCTCATTGTTCCCCAAGAGCTTCGTCTTCGACAAGGATGCGCTGGTTCAGCTCTGGACAGCGCAGGGCTTCATTGATGCCGGAGGAGAACAGAGGCCTGAAGATGTAGGCACCGGCTACTTCTATGATTTGGTAGCAAGATGCTTCTTCCAGCCATCCCCATCTCATGGAATCGATCAAGAGAAGTTTGTCATGCATGATCTATATCAGGAGCTTGCACAGTTTGTTTCAGGCAATGAATGCAGAATGATACAACATATTGTTTCAGGCAATGAATGCCGGACGATACAGCAGAGTAACCTGAACCGAGCCGACAAGACATCGGCTCGCCATTTGTCCATTGTCAACAATGAGTCCCATCCTGAGCAAGAACTATCATTGGACTCATTTTGTGGCCAAGATCTGAGAACATTCCTGTTTCTTTCAAGATTGGAACAGATCATCCATGGAGAAATGCCACTCAGAAGAAAGATTGCTCCATATGGACTGATGACAGATTTTGAATGTCTAAGGGTTCTAGATTTAAGCAACACTGACATTGTGGAGGTACCAAAGTCTATTGGAAGCCTGATACATCTGAGGTACCTTGGTCTGGATAACACTAGAATTCAGATGCTGCCGGAGTCAGTAGGTGCTCTCTTCCACTTACAGACAATCAAGCTTAACCATTGTTCCTCCCTTACTCAGTTGCCCCACGGCAGTAAGCTCCTGCAGAACTTAAGATGCTTTGAGATAGCACATTCCAATGTACAGATGCCATCTGGGATCAGAGCATTGACTAGCCTACAGAAGCTACCTGTTTTTGTCGTCGGAGATGGATCTGCTGGATGCGGAATCGGAGAGCTGGATGAGCTGATAAACATCAGAGGAGACCTGCACATTATAGGTTTAAGCAATCTTGATGCTGCACAAGCTGCCAATGTCAATCTATGGAAAAAGGAGGGACTTCAGAAGCTAACACTCGAATGGTGTGACATACTTCAGAATTCAGACGTGACATTGCGTGATCTGCAGCCAAATGAAGCAAACAGAGTACCAGATTGTCGTTGCGTGCCACAACAGAATGACAGAGCAGCTCAGGTGTTACAGTGTCTCAGACCAAATTCAAATCTGGAGGAGCTCATCATCAAAGGTTATAATGGATCATCATTCCCATCATGGGTAGGGTCTCTGCCTTTGGACAGGTTAGCTTCTATAGAACTAAAAGATTGCCAAAATTGCGAAGAACTGCCGCCACTTGGGTGCTTGCCATCCCTGAAACATGTTGTGATACAGTCACTGCCAAGTGTCCAGCTAGTTGGACCTGAATTTCTTGGCGATGTTGGAGATATCCCTTACAACAACAGGAAGAAAGCCTATTTTGCTTTTCCTGCATTGGAGTCTCTGAAGTTCAGGGATATGGGAGCCTGGGAGGAATGGTCAGGTGTCAAGGATGAACACTTCCCAGAACTTAAGTATCTCAGCATTGTTAGGTGTGGAAAGCTGAAGGTATTGCCCAACTTCACTTCAGGACCAAAGCAGAGAATCAGGAATTGTGAGAAACTACTCCAGCCTCTATGCCAGGTATGTTCTTCAAGTTCAAGTCAGATGAATACCATCAATTTTTCTTGCATCGATTTTTATATAAGAGATTTTTTTATATGCAAATTTCGTTGTTCATCTGCTCTTGGATCATTTTTACTATAGTCACAGCTGACAGCTGCAAATATCATTTCTCTCTTTTTTCTTATGGATTGCACAAATATGCTCATAATTGCTCATCAGTTACGACCAAGAATCATTAAATCATATGAAATGAGCATTAGACTTTTTGCACTCACAAACAGGGTGAATGAGGCAGACTATTTCAGTTAACAGGGACTTCTGGTTTACAATATAAAAACTATTTTAGCCCATACTACAATTTTTTTATCATGGAATAATTAAACTAAAAATAATTTGTTCATTCTTCCCTGATCAGAATATACACTGGAATTTGATGGAATACATACCACCTTCAAGTGAACTGTCGTACACATGCATGGCAGAAGGTGATATTTCAATCCTAGAAGCTTCCTGTTCATACAGTACATAGAACATTGGAAATGGAGGGAGGGGCACCCATTATTGTAAATGCTCATGGATTGGTGCTATTTTGTCAGAAAATCTTATTTCCAGGATTGACATGAATTTTTCAGTAAGTACACATCGTATGAAATTGTTTTGTTCCAAATGTACCCGATCAAGAATATTCATTCACACCAAAACTACTGAATGCATGTTCCTGGAAAACTGCAAAGCATTCCTCCTCTGACAGAAGATGCAAGTAAAAAGTTTGCATTAGCGAAAGGGCCTGTAATCTAGTGGTTACAAGAGCCTCAGTAGCACCTTAGATCCTGGGTTTGACTCCTCATGAGAGAGCGATTTTTTTAGGATTTAACGGCTTTGTGTTTTTAGTGGTAGAAGTGTTTGTGGGTCATGAGAGCGATTTTTTTAGGATTTAACGGCTTTGTGTTTTCAGTGGTATGCGTGTTTGTGAGTGTCTGCGTTCAGTGGCGAATCCAGGATGTAAATTGAGGGGGTGCTAGTGTAAAAATATAATGTGATTAAAACAAATAAAGATATATCAACTAAAGTATTTTCCAATGAATACCAAAAGCGCATATGATCAAAACAATTTTCTCTATTTTGATTTGTGTCTATCTTAAAATATTCATAAAAATCTGTGAATATATTGTTTTGTATACTCAGAGTAGATTCTATTTGGGAAAATTTGAACCATGCCACACAAATTTTCCAAAATTTGTGATATGACACCCTGACCCACATGTCATTGACTCATGTGGGTTCTACATGTCATTGAGATACGGGTGGCATATCTCAAATTTTGCAAAATTAGGGTGGTATGGTTCCAACAAACCCATTCTATTTTACCAGTTTGGACAGTAGAAGCAGTGAGGAAGCCTGCATCTTTGCCGTCTGGGAATTTTCTTCACTAATGACTAACTAGACTTGTTAATGATTAATTAGGGGTAGGGATTAGAGCTAGGGCTGGCGCACCAACCAGTCCCAACAGTGGATCCGCCACTATCTGCGTTGTACTGTATAATTCTTAAAAAAAAAGTTACGTTGTACTGTGTAATTCTCAAAAAAAGAAAAAAAAGTTTGCGTTGCTCCCAAAAGCCAATGACCAATCCACATTCCCGCTCTTGGTTGTTACCATAAGTGCGCCGACATTTAGTATTTTGTACACCTCACTCCAAAAGCATTCATCCTCAATATCTGCATCATCCAATACAAGCAAGAATTTCTTGCCAGTAAGCTCGTCTCTTACAGTCTCTTCAAGAATGCTCCGTGAGGCCTCAGCACAAGAGGTACCGGTCGTGAACTCTAAAATCTTCTCTAATAATCTTCTTTTGTCGCACATACAAATCCATATTCTGAAACTAAAGGCATCAACAATTGTTTGATAATTGTAAATTCGAATGACAAGCTCAGTTTTGCCCAGAGATGCACTTGATACTGCGGTGACAAGGGGTGTGTTGGATAAGCTGCCAATTGAAACTGGAAGGCTCTGTAACTTTTTGCAGGAGCATAGAACCAGAATTAGCAAGCTTTCCAGGCTTAACAATATGGGAGGTTCAGAGCAGAGAGATCATTAAGGGCGCCAAGGGAAACACGCAGTTGTGCAAGGTTACTGCAACCTGAGAGGTCCAAATACAACAGACTTTTGATGGCTTTGGGCAACAGGTAAATGGGATCAGACACATGCTGGCATTCTCTGTGCATTCTGCATTCATCCTAGCTATCTTGACATCAACAGAGTAGCTGGCATTCTCTGCTTTCATAAAAAACAGATCGATCTTAGAAAATCTATTGCTAGCCTCAGACTTGGTTTGGCTGTGTATATCCTTGGTGGATATAGAGGCCGGATTAATAAAAAAACTATTATCTAAAAAAAGCCTTCAACACGTGATAGCACTCAAGCTAGACTTCCACAAAGCCTTCAACACGATAAATTGGAATTGTCTCTACAAAGTGCTCTCACACATAGGGTTTGAACCAAACTGGATAAAGTGGATCCAACAATTATTAGAAACCAGAAAAGCACGTATTATGATCAATGGATCAATAGGGGAATCGATCAGCTACAAGAGAGGTGTCCGTCAAGGTGACCCACTATCCCCATATCTCTTCATCCTGGTGGCAGATGTTCTATAGAAACTAATGCAACTCTAGAATGGCCACCTGCGGCACCCTCTCCAAATACAAACCACGCTGCCTTTCCTTGCAGTATGCAGATGAAACTTTGATCTTAATTCAGGGATATGTTCAACAGGCTAAACTCTAAAAGACATCCGAGATTCCTTTGTTGACTTCTCGGGTTTGAAAAAGAACTATCATAAGAGCACCTTCGTGCCTATCCACATGGACGTTTCTGAAGCAAATGCAGTCGCAAACCTCCTCGACTGCCCGGTGAGTCCATTACCATGCAAATACTTGAGGCCTACCTCCGTCAGCAGCAAAAGTAACCCGTAAAGTGTTGTCCCCGATTATTGAGAGAATTAATAGAAGACTAGCAGTATGGATCCCGGGACTCTTATCCTAGGGAGAATGATTAATAATGATCAATTCAGTGATGTCCGCGATCTCAAATTACATCATGGCATGTACTAAATGGCCGGACAAAAGTATAGAAGAGCATTCCGTTAGAAAGAAAACAATGAAGCAAAAGAAGGCCAATGCCTATTAGCATGGACGACTGTGACCTCGCCAAGGGAATAAGGCGGAGTAGGTATACGAAACCTCAAAAAACATAACTCAGCGTTATCGATGAAGCTGGCTAGTAATCCCCTAAACCATGTTTCCACGGGCTTAGATCCCATCACCTACAATACCAAATACCTTTCAAAGCAAAACCCAATGACACACCAATTTGGAAAAAAAAAATATGGTGCCTTAGAGCCAATGATCATATCAACCAAAGTTTTAGCATGAAACGGTCAATCAACGCAACCCTGGAGAGACCACTAGACAAATGTGGGTCATTTCTTCATTGCATACCCAACACCGGCCTCCTTCGCAACCAACATCAACTGCAGAGTACCTTCACAATTCATACACAGCACTTGGGCCATCGAGCCTCCATCCAATACTGTCCAATCAAGCACATCTCAAACTCCAGCAACTTATGGACACATCGGCAAAATACCAACCTTGGCTAGAAACAACAGATAAAGATCATGCATACACTCCCATGCGGGAATAACAACCGTATTAATTTACAACTTACTCACATTTCATGGCATCTACTCCTTTTGTAAGTTTACTGGACGATGAAAAATGCATAGTTTTAAAGTGGTAGGAGCCATCTTGGGCAACCAAAATGTAAAATTTTCACGCCCCCATTTGCATTTATGATCTCAAGAGATACGTAGCCTAGTTAGGTTTTTTCTTTTTTGTTGAAACCAACCCACTTGATTTAAGTTGTACATTTGACATGGATTTACGACTATCATTAGTGACCGATAATGCTTTAGTGGCAGATCATCTGCCCATCGATAGTGACATTCCCATGATGACTTAGGCTGTGTTCGCTGGAGGTTCATGGAAAACAGAACGGTCCATTAGCATGTAATTAATTAAGTATTAGCTATTTTTTTTTCAAAAATGGATCAGTATGATTTTTTAAGCAACTTTCGTATAGAAACTTTTTGCAAAAAACTCACCGTTTAGTAGTTTGAAAAACATGCGCAAGGAAAACGAAAGAGATGAGTTGAGAAACCTGGGGTGAGAGCACAACCTTGGGCTGTGTTCGCAACAATCTGTTCCCAGCACGCATGCGCGCGGAAAACAGAGCAGTCCATTAGCGTGTAATTAATTAAGTATTAGCTTTTTTTAAAAAAATTGAATCAATATGATTTTTTAAGCATCTTTTGCATAGAAACTTTTTGTAAAAAACACACTGTTTAACCGTATGAAAAGCGTTTGCGTGGAAAATGAGGCGGAGGGGATGAGAACCAACAGTTCCAAACACAGCCTTGGTCAGTTTAAGGTAATCTACCATAGTTTTGGTGGGAAAAAAATAGCGCTAGTAGAAAGGAATTCAGAGGTTGAATTGAGCCTGGGAGAGTGCCGGGTACGCATAGCAATTCCATCCATGCAATGGAAACTGCTGGCGGGAACACGAGCCCGCCACGCGCCTCCCGTCACGCTCCCCGTCCCCCTCTTCCGCCCCCCGAACAACATCGCCGCCGTCCAACTGTCCCGCGGCGCGCACGAATCTCGACGCACTCGCAGGAAAAAACGTTTGCTGCCGTGGGTTTCTTCGTCCTCCTCCTCGCTCCAGCCGCTTCGTATCCCACTTCTTGCCAACAACAGAGGCGAGGTAGAGCAACGTGAGCGCGTTGGGGGGCGGCGGGGGCGCAAATCGGGATCAATCTAGGAGGATCCGCCCGGGCGATTGGTTCGCCGGACGCGCTGGGAGGTAGTGTGGGTCGCTTCTCTCGAGTTCTTGGTGAAAGATTTGGGGTTCTTTTATTCCTTCTTTGCGATGCAGCGATTTGGTTCAATCTTGGTGAGGTTTTCGTTCTGATGGAGGTTTCTCGGTGCTTGGATGGCGTGGATGAGCGAAATGGAGGTTCTTGCTGTTCTTGTCCTGGATAATTTGTTTGTTTTTTTTTCTCCTTTTGCCTTTGCTTATTTGTTTGTCTCAAGTTGTTTTTGTTAAGGATTTTTCTTCACTACAGGCCGATTTGCCGAGATCATCGCTTTGAAGGTTGTTACATTTTTTTGCGCGGTGATAGATTTCTGTTTTTTTTCCCGATAAGGAATCTGTTTCTTGGATATTCTGTTCATGGGTGGTGAATGGGTTTCTTGGATTGCTGGTGTTTTGAGCATTATCCAGATTACTACAAAAGCACAATTATTTGATTGATTTACGTGTATTGTTCAGAATATTAGTGTGAATCAGAGGGATTTGTAATCTATTGTTTCTTGTTTTGGCAAAATCTAAAAAGACTTCTTATTTTGTTCCTGCAAAAATATTTCTGGATAATGCCAGCATTTATTCCATTTCTATCTAATCGGAATGGCATTTAATCCAAGGTTTTCAGATGGATGGTGATGAAGCAAAAGAATCAGCTATGGATGGTCTAGCCAGCGAAACTGCTTCTCGGATTCCTGATGTCTCCAAGAAGCAGCCAAAGAGGAAGAGGACCCTGGTGGATGAAGAAGTTGCATCTGCTGGATTGCAGGGAGAGATTGACGCATTGTTTGATTATTACAAGGAGGTCTCTGGTTATCAGTTGAAGCCAGAGGAGATTGGCTGCTCTACTAATGACTCGATTGTAGCTTGCTTGCTGGAGGAAAGCAGTCTTCCCTATGATAAGTTGGTGGATGAAATCTACAGGAGGATGGAGCTGCGAGATGGCGTCACAAAGTCTTTCATTAGCAGCGCTGTGAATAACATTGGTCAGAGAATGTCATATGGGATTTCTGATATACATGATCAGGTGTTGGTGGATGAGTCTAAATCAAAGCTTTGGTGTTGGGAGGTAATGAATGAAGATTCATATCCTCACAAAAAAAAAGAAAGAAAAAGAATGGCGATCCATATGTTTCTTTTCATCACATGATCATGTTCTAACTCTCAATCTTTTCTGATCTGTAATATGACCCTGTGGGATAAGACGCGAGATTTGAAGCTACTGCCTTCACAACTTCGTGGGAGTTTGCAGATCAGACGTACGGCTCGGAAGCTAATCCATGAAAGGATTCTGGCTATTTCAGGTATGATCATTTCATAATCCTAACCGGATCAAAGTATTGCTCAATTGACAATGTGCAACCTGAAGTATGAACCAAAAAATCATATTTTATTTTGTTTGTTGCTTAACTATCCTATCATTTGATTGTTTCTCACAAAGGAAGAGGCTGATATCTGATGTTGAACCTGTTAATGTATAATTAATGAAGTTTGTGCAATTAACGTGGATGCGCATGATTTTTATAATATGGCAATAACATGTGTATCATGATTAGTGCCTGTGCTGTTTGAACCCTTAATCTTCTCTTTGATTGTTTATGTGTCTATTATTTGTGTTTCCTGTTGAAACCATTGGATATTTTTGCTCACTTGCTATGTTGCTAATGTTTACAAGAAAAGTCAGCTAACTTGCTTTATTTATCCTATATTCAGCGAAAAAACGTACTTATGCTTTTAATAAGAATTAGGCGGGTTGCCATGTATACCATCACATTGCTGTTGTATAACCAGCAGCATGCAATGAATTCAAAGTCTGTAAACTAATGTACAAAGATTCTCTCTTATTTCCCTTGGTCTTGATGATTTTGTTAATAAACAGGCTATTTAGGGTTTAATTAAGTGCATGCTAGCTTGGAAGTTCAGGGTTCTCACAGATGAAGTTAATGGCCATTTCTTTTAAAGCATATGAAGCATTCAAGCTGACAATGGCTCATAGTTCATCAACTGTAATCCTTAGGAAATATAACCTAGTTTGGAAATGAGTAATATTTCGATATGCAGATAGATTCTGCATTAATGCACAAATATATTTCGTTATAGACTTAATGATGAAATTTTAATCTAAACTAAAACATACACTTGGTATATTATTATGTTTCACTTGAATCATTACAATATTGCATTAAAGTATATTTAGTGAAAACAATGTAATTAAAATTAACACATTAAATCCTTTATCCAAAGAATAAAACAGAACACACCTGAGAACATTCTGTTCCTCCTGTGTCCATCTCAGCCTATCCTTGGCTGCTTCCTTCCATCTTAGCTGCTGGTGCTATGATACTCCTGCCTGCTGGGCTCTGGAGTCTGGACCTCCTGTGCACCCTCAGAACAATATCTCTCATCGTACATGACCCTGAAAATGATATCATCCTAATAATTAGCTTAACAATTTCCAATTCAAAATATATGATATTTTGTGCGGTAACTCTTTTCAATGCATGGATGCACTTTTCTTCAATCCCGACCACATATGTGTGAAATATTTCAACATCATCAACCGAACATGGCCTGACTCTGGATATAATCCAAAGCAATCTTCGATTTTTTAGCTTGATATTTAAGAATAATTTTAGGTAGATTTTTTTTACTCATCTTCTTGGCAGTCATGAAAGGAGAGCAGTGCAACAAAAGTTATGAAGCATAAAATTAAGACTAAAAAAAACTCAAAATCAGCTTTGAATTCTAGTCAGAAGTAGGGCAATTGTTTTTTTTTAAAAAATCAACTTCACAAGTTTAGTTTTAATGATTGTGAAGGATACGGGCCAATGCATCATTCTAAATCCCATGAAAAATCTGAGGGACCAAATGTTCATTAGTCATTACCCCTCTGCCAATTAGTTAATCACAATACGGCAAAAAGAAAACCAACAAACAGATAATTCATGGTATGTAGATCCAGACAATAACATATGGATATAGTATTATCCCATGCATGGTAGACATGTACGGAATATTTGATTATCCTATGAAAACAGAATGTTTACATTATAGACTGCCTAGCTATAGATTTCATCTTTTAAAAAAATTACTAGGGCAAGCACGTAACTGTTTTTTGCAGTAAGGTTAGCAAGCTTTATTATGGTGGAGTTTGGCTGTGTGCTTCATTAGGTGGAGGTGCTGGGAGTTTTTTACAATCTTCTGTTATGAAAAAAATTAAGGTGGAGTACTGAAACAAAACTCTAGCAACAATTAAATGATGTCCTTCAGCAAATGCTACTGTCTCTGCCGACCAACTTTATTTACTACTGCAATGTTGACACATGTGAATAGGAATAATTGGTGCAGCACCACTAAAAAAATAATCTGCTCTCTGACCGGATTTTCACCGATCTCAACTAGTGACAAATAGCTTAGCAGATCCAATTGTCATTCTGATTTTCCGTCAAAAAAATATCATTCTGATTCTAACTATGTGTGCCCCAATTCTATCTTACACTCTGCATAGTTGGTCTACCTTATTTGCCAGCTGTATACTTTTGTTTAGTTTTATGAATGAATGCCTTCTGGATGTTCCTAAGTTTGCTATTATATCTTGATTGGATTGTTGATTTTTTTAAAATTATTTAAGGTATATTACAGTTATCTCTATTGCATTGTAATTGGACTCAATGTTGATTGTATGTTGCTTAACCTGTAAGGGATTATGGATATGTGTACCCCATGTTTTACTCTGCTGGAGATTTGTTGGCCACAGGAACTCCTAAAGTACATGTCAACCAGAAGAACACTGGATCTGTAAATGCTAGTCAGGATATACTAAATCTTGATGGTATTCGCTCTTTGGTGGAGAAGTTAAAATCCGACATGTATTATTCTTGCTTCATCTACTTCCTGACATATATATTTCTTACTTCATCTATACGTGTCTTAAAAGTTTTAACATTACTTACTTCGGACCTTGTGTTTTGTCCAAAAGGGCTCAAAAGGATACCAAAACAAAAGAGAGAAGCAGTTTGAAAGCTTCAAAGGAACAGAAAAGGATAGATCACCAAGTTCAAAAGGAGCAAAAACTGAAAGCAAGTCCTCATTTCACACATGCAGAAAGTTTTTACCTTTTGTTTCCTATATTTCTTTTACTGCTATATTAAAGTGAGTAATGTAACCCGTTATGAACATTTGGGAATTACTAAAGTGTAAATCTATCTTTCTTCCTGTTTGAATTTATTTGGTTCAATGTTGCTTCTTTTGTTTGAGAAAAAAAATGTTGTTTTCCTCTTGATATCTTATATTTAATATTGTTCTTTTGTAATATAGTACTATCACCGGTGAACTAACAAATAGGAATGTTCAGAAGACTAATTTATTCCCTTGTGTATCTATTGTAGTATTCTTTTGGGTATTCTCCACATTAAATGAATTTATTCCTATCAATAATCAATTCTTAAATGGCTGCTCTTTTCATCGCTATATGGATCCAGAATCTGCATGCAATGAGCTCAGAAGGTCCATGTGGCATCGACTCCCTCAAATCAAATGTAGCAAACATCAAAGGTCCAGATGGCTCCACATCATAATTTAGGGCAGGATTGTCACAAAAATGAAACAAAAGCAAATTTATTCATGTGTATCATGGAACTCTGTTGCAAGGTCTTCCTTTTGAATTTCTTTTTTTTTCATAGTGTTACTAGTTTAGGAAAGGACATTTTATATTTCCATATGTGTATCCAAAAATGGATTCTGGATATTCATACTAACTGATTTTTTTGAGATGATTCCTGGGCAAAATCAGTCAAAAAGCAGAACTAAATGATTCAACTATTTAATTTGTTGGAGGTTAATTTAAAGTCCACTGGAAACTGGCTGGTTCATTTGAAACTTTTAAGTTTTAATCCTTGTAGATTAATTTATCACATGATGATATTATTTTTCTAGGTACAGAGCTCTAAAATTTGTTAGAGTGGTGTCAAATTATTATATTTATACAGTGTGATGTCAGTCAGTATAAACTGCATTCTGTTTTCTGCAAGTATGTGTTAATTGTTTATAGAAACAGGTTTTTGGCTTGTTGGACTGCTGGGAGTTACAACAAACTGGTTTAGCGTAGTAAGAGTAGGTTGGAGAAATAACCAGCATATTATTTACAAGTAAATTAATTTAGAGTTAGTCAAATTATGTACTCTGGTTCTTCAATAGATTTGCTTCATTACATGATCGAGTTGTAAAATACAGACTGGATAGATTTTTATCCCTTAGCTGGACTTATTCTTTGCACTGAGATTAAACTGTACAATCATAGCTAGTACTATCCAGTCACAACAATTGAGTTATTCAAATTCTATAATTGTATTTCTCCTCTGCAAGATGAAGTTTGTTTCAACATAAACTATTATTGAATTGGCATTGTTTTTGCACTGGCATATAATACTGAAAAACTAATAATCAGGATAGCATTCTGATTCCAATCATTGTATAGTAGGAAAAGTGTTACAATCCTTATGCAGTATGTGACAGTAGATGCTAGCCTCAAGGTTAGGAAGGTAGCATTAATTTATCAGTATTGTGTTCTACCATATCATCTAAATATTGTCTATGATATTGCAGGAAAAGGAACTTAAGCATATCAAAGAAAAAGCTGAGAAAGAAGCAAAACGTGCTGAGAGAGAAAAGGCTGAACAAAAGAAGCGATCAAAGAAGCATCAGGAAGAAGTAGAAAGAGAACAGAAAAGGAGAGAGAGGCAACAAGCAGAACTGAAAAGACAAGCTTCCATTCAAAAACAAGCAAACTTCATGCAGCATTTTCTTAGAGGTAAAAAGGGTGGCAACATGGAAAGCCTTGGCAATCACCATTCAATGAGAAGTCCACATCCTAATGTATTCAGCAAGATTGAGGATTCTTCAGCTACATCAGCAATGGATTGTACATTGTCTGAAGAAAATCAGTTGAGATCGGATGAAATCTGGAAGTAAGATATAGTTTACTTATCTTTATATTCATATTAGCTTTTATTCCTACTAATAATAAAATCTTGATGACGCATGCTTTCTACTGTTTGTCAGCTGTCAGTTAACATGTACAAAAACTGATTTCAGTAATTAATCCTTCAAAACTTAACATTGTGTTAATCATTGGGGGTAAACCACAGTATCAGGCCATAGGCTTCTTGCAAAACGTTTACAAAGTAGTTTGCGTCATATATCTGTTGCATACTTGCGTTGTAGTTCAAAACTATTGTGCTCAGCTTTGGTCAATCATATAGTGAATAGGTAAATGGCATGCACATCAAAAAAAAAATGATGTGATTATGCAATGCAGGTTGCAGATTGCTAGATGGAGAAAACTCTATCATCAGAAAGAATTATGCCGATGGAGTGATAGGAAAAATCCTAAGATTGAGTTATTTAAAGAGCTTAAGCTACAAAAGTGCCCTGCAACTGCACCTTCTGAATATGTGTCAACTCCAAGTAAAGAGCAGTCATCTCAAATGGAACACCAAGGAAGCCTTAATTTCTCAAAATTACTTGACCAATCATATGATGAGAATGCTGACACCTCTAAAACTACTAATGCTAACACATCCTCTTCAGTTTGGCGTGTAAAGAAGCTTTTACAGTTTGACAAAAGTCATAGACCAGCATACTATGGTACCTGGACAATGAAGAGGTATGGTCGATATCTTGAAATTGATAATTTTATTTTAGAGGTGAAACAAATTATTTGAACAGTTCGTTTTTATGCATGGCTAATACCACTCTCATATAAGATGTATTTTACAGCTCTACAGTTAGTGCAAGACACCCCTTTAAGGTGGATCCCCTTTTGGACTATGATGTTGATAGTGACGAAGAATGGGAAGAGGTAATCATTTCCTTTTTTTAAAAAAAAAATTCTGCTATAGACGGAAGTCTTAATGATGGCCTTGATACAGGAGGAGCCTGGTGAAAACCTCTCCGATTTTGATAACGATGATGAAGAGGCTATGGGTGAAAAGGATTCCAAACATGATGCTGAAGAGGAAACTGATAACAGTTTTGTAGTGCCTAATGATTATCTATCAGAGGATGAGGTATAACTAATCTCCTTTTCTTTAAAATATTTTGTTTTGCATTGTTGCTACATGCACCTCTTCTGGCGCCTAAACCATTCAAATCCTTGCCGGTGTTTCTCATGTGGTTTTTTCTTCTTTTTGAATACTTTGTTTTCTCGTAACTTCACCTGAGTTGCTTATTTTGTTAGCTTGGAGACTTTTTATGGGTACTGTTTTTCTCATTGGTGTCCTGAAGACTTGAAAATTGAAATAATTGTTTTCTTGATTGTCATGTTGCTTGTAGTGATCAGATGCATCACTACAAGACTTCTTTATGGGTACTGTTTTTCTCATTGGTGTCCTGAAGAGGCAACTTGAAAATTGAAATAATTGTTTTCTTGATTGTCATGTTGCTTGTAGTGATCAGATGCATCAATTTTCACTGGATTGTGAATTGGCAATTTAAAGTTGTTAGTTGATGAGAAAAAAAATTCTGGTTGCATCACAATTGCTCAAGATTTTGCAAAATACCATTGTGTATAGCTGAATGTCTCACAGTGCTAAACACCATCACAAAATGTCACAAAATATGAAAAATAACAATGCTGTCACATGTGCATACCAAAGAAGTTAGGTGATCAGTTTTATCCCCCATTCTTCTGTTCTTGTTCCATTTTTATTATAGTGGCCCCATATGACATTGTCCTCATTCAATTTCAAAATACAGGGTTTATGAAATTAAAATACTGAAACATGAAATATTAATTAAGAATAGATTAATTCTAAGTTATACTCATTGAAATTTTGTAAACTCATGTTTTCTTTATATTCAAACTATAATAATCTGGGACTTGACATTCAAATTGAAAATGCTAATAAAAATGATTCATGTTTTATGTTTGTAAGTTCTCAGTATATACTTCTGAATATAGAATATTAATCAATAGGAATTTTAAATTATGACATTTTAATTGTTAAAATTCACAATTTTCAAATTAAATTTCCTTAAATTTTGAAACACTGTGGGAAGAGTAGGAAGTGAACAAAAGTATGTTGTTGTTTTTTTCATATTTTTCTCTGCTAATGGGATGCTAATGGTGCCTTAGGATGGTAAAGCTTTCTCAGTGGCATTTTTCACATTTACACTGACATTTCGTGGCTTTCATCATTCGTGACGGTATGCTTAAATTTTCTGATGTTTTTTATGGCACCATACGAAAATGCTCTTTACAATATCACAATCGAAATTTATCAGTTATGAGAGCTTTGGTTTCTCCTACTTTGTATATTTCCTTTATTTTCTTCCCCTTAATGAAATGAAACGCAATTCTCTCGCGTTTTCAAGAAAAAAAGAAGTGCTATTTCTAGCTGATGCTATTTTGGAGTCCCATAGGATGTTTTCCAGATCTCTATTATTATTGCTAATTGTTTTAATACTTTGTTAATAATTTTTATACAGAAGAGATTTTATTCTCATTATTATATGAATTTTCTATTTCATACAAAGTTGACCTTATACACCACTCTTCATAGACTTATTTATTTCCTGCAGGGTGTGCAATTTGAACCTCTGTCTGGTAAATTAGATGACACCTGCAGGTTACTGAGCATTCCTAGGGTTGCAATTGAGGAACTTGATGTTGTTCTGCAACAGCAGAAGGCTCTTCATAGCTTCACTGAACATGCTCTTAAGAAGGACAGGCCTTTAGTCATATACAACCTAGATCATGGGAAAGCTTACCTATTGGATGCTGAAGCTATCACTGGAATACTTAAGGTGGAGCAACTCTGTTTGCAAGCTCTCTGTATGAAGGAATACCTGGGGGCACCCATCATTGATGTTCCTGTCGACATTAATTTTCCCATTAAAGATCTGGAAATTGGTCGACTGAACAGAAAGGGACCTAGCACACCTGTGGCCTCCAAATCAATTTCAGGCTCTGACTTGCCAGAATTTGTAAGTTGATGGTATGCAATGAAATGACAATTTTCTTATAAACTCTTATTTCAAGAGTTCCTACTAAATCATGCTGTTATGCAGGTAAAAATTATTTCATCATGCCCTTATGGGATAGGCAAATTGGTGGAGTCATTGCGTGTGCAATTTCCTTGTGTCCCTAAGTTGCAACTGAAGAACAAAATTTGGGAGATAGCTGACTTTACCAATAACCGTTGGCAGGTCTTTAACATTCCGCTCATTATTTTAATTGATGTGTAGTTATGCCTATATTACATAATAATGGTATTTTCGAGCAGGTTAAGAAAGATATCTTGGACTGGTGTGGTCTATCTCTTCCACCAGGTACTAAGCCATCTTATAGTGCCTTTGCTGCATTTGAACATGAAGTGTTACTTGTAACTGAGAACAGTGATGTGATGTTGCTAAAAGAACATCTCAGAAGCTACTAATGGAGTTTTTTTTTCTTTACTTTAAATAGAATCGATATTGCATGCTTTTAATCAAGTATGTGTTGCGGATGCTGAATTGATGAATGTGGATTGATTAAAAAAGTGCATCTAACTGTCTAATTGATTATGCCGTGTATTTCTTAGATTCTGTGTTATCTGCAATTCTGGTTTGCTTTCTTCTATAGATAAAGGTATACAGTAATACACTGCTTTCCTGGTACAGATAGAGGTATCCAACAGATGCAGCCTGATGAATCGGGAGATTCAGTTCAACCCTCTCCTCAGCCTGGCGCTAAATTGGAAATACACAAACACCAAATTGATGCCTAAGGATCAGGTTGCAGCACATCTCCCTTCTGGCCCTTGAGAATCGAGACACACTGCTTAAAACAACACCATAGACTATACACCAGTGTATATACTTAGCTTATTAGGTTGTACAGAATAGAGAGTTTTAAGATTCAGTCGTTCAGAGACTACAAGTATTGGGCTTCAGTTGTATAGTGTAATGCAGCAAGTCCCTTGTAGAAATGGTGGTCATGGGATGAGTCTCCTACGTAGTACTGCCCTCTGTCTGGGTTACTAGCATGTGGGCCTGCTGGATGTGGGGCTCATATATCAGATTATCAGTCCCTCGAAGTCAGATGGCAGTACTGTAGAGGATCTGTTGCCGTGGTCATGTAAACTGTCTTGAGGCAGAAATAGGCTTTTTACACCTCGTGTCATCTTCGAAACAAACTATGGTGCACCATGTGCTTGTTTAATGCGTTAAGTGGTATATGGTCTGGATCAGATCTGATGACAAGAATCTAGAAAACTGAAGGAATGATTGGATTGAATTGTAATCTTAAACATCATGGAACCAAAAATGCTATGGCACTGGAATACTGGGTAAACTGGTTTGGCTATCGGGGCTGTTTTGGTATCACTTCGGCTTGATGAATAAATTTGCTTTGTCGAAATCCCTATAATGAGTAGTATTTGCTGTTGCCGAATAAACCAACTCTGGGACAAGATCTGGCATGAGGTTCAGTATCATAATGGTTTCTTCGTAGTAACGCATCTCATGAAGAACTCTTTTGTACTTTGAAAACGGACATGGATGTGTTTTTGTGCTTTGAAAACCCGTTTGAACTAGTAGATGACCGGTTGGTATTTTTCTCGCAAATTCCCTTAGCCCACTCTTCTTTATTTTATAGGGGTATAATTTATCTTCTTTATTCTAGGGGTATAATTTACCAGTTTAAAATTTACTAGTTTGAATTGACACTTTATTACTGATTCATGTGGAATGTATAAAATCTTATCTCTTCATGTGGATGGCCCAACAAATTAAACTAAAATCTACATTTGCGGGTTTTGATGTTAATGCATGAAGTTTGCGGGTGACAAGTGGGGTTTTCTATTTGGTGCAGACGTACATCTGCCACGCACTTTTTTTTTCCACAATTGTTTTTTTCAATTTTTTCGCAACTTATTGTCACGTGAGCCTTTTTCCCGTGTTCTTTTTACGTATGTTTGGTGAATTTTTTAAATGTATTTTAGAATTTGAGTCTTTCACCTCAAAATTCAAAACATGCTATTGAAAATTTTGAACTCAAATTTCAAAACATTCATCTCAAAATTCAAAACTCTCAACTCAAATTTTAAAACATTCAACTAAAAAATTCAAACCTGGATATATCTTGACTTAAAAGTTTTCAATTTGAGTTGAAAGTTTTTTAGATTTTAACTTAAAAGTTTTTAAATCTGAGTTCAAAGTTTCAAATCTTGAGTTTGAGTTAGAAGTTTTCAAATCTTGACTAAAAATTTTTCAAAGAGTTGAAATTTTTGAATCTTGAGTTTAAAGTTTTGAATTTTAGATGTAATTCAATTTGGAGTTGAAAGTTTTTAAATTTTGAGTTAAATTGTAAGTTCTAAATGTTAGAAAGCAGAAACCGTCCGGCTAGTCATGCATAAAATCGTTAATGACATCGCTAATCAAATTTGTTACAAATTCCGATTTTCATGGCAGCTAGTGATTCCGCTCATGTGGATGCATTCGTTGACACATGCACATGTGATACGTGATGAGCGAGCTCTATTTCTAGTGCGTAGGCGCACGTTAGCCTTTTTGGCGACTATTCGACGTATACCTATTTTGCTTTACACATAATCTGTGTACCTCGTGTGGAAATGGTTAGAGCAAATTGTGTTATTTTATTACAAACATACCAAGTTTTAAATTTAAAAGTCGCTTACTATAGTTTTTTATGAGATAAATTTAATTTGATGACAAAATTAATTTTGTACGAGAAACTTTTGAATAAGGATAGAAACTTCCACTAGGATTTCTTTTTACAAAAAGTTTTTTCATTAGAAAATTTTGACTATGCAACTACGGAATGTAAATACCCCTAAATTTATACTTTGTAAAAGAAGATATAAAATTTTATGTAAGATATTACGTCTATTTTACCTCTCTCAAGTACTGCCCTTGGTCGAATCACGTCTCTCAATCGTAAAACTGGGTATAGAGCTTGCTCCTCTCTCCCCTCTTTATTCATTCTCTTTCTTTGCGCCCACATGTCGTTTCAGTTCATTTGTTGTCCTCCTGCTCCTCTCACCGCTTGCCATCTCCCACCTCTCACCGTGGAGCTCTCTTATCACATCCTGATTTTTGTCTTAAGATTTATAAATTATTTAATAAATTATTTTTAGAACTTATATTAAATGTTCATTAATTTACAAGTGAAGTTAAATGTGGGAAATAAAATTTCCTAAATATAAAGTATGGTTGGATTTAATTTTTATTAAATTCTCCATGAATAATTATACTCTTTGGAATTTTCTCGGATTTTTCGGAGCTCAATTCCTAATTTTAATAATACAAAGAACATTTCAGTAATTATTTAAATAATACATTAATCATTAAATAATCTGATTTTAATCTTGTTAAGTAATTTAAGTGTTCAAGTATTTTCAGGATTATTCTTGAAATTATTTTAGCATTGGAAGTATTTTTAACAATTCAAAGATCATCTCATTGATTAATTTATTAAATTGGAAGTCCTTTGATGATCCCTTCCGGCCCAGCCCAAAAAGTCTAGTTTCCCTCCCTGCCGCTACAGTGTCGTCTTCCAGCTCCAGCCAGAGCCGAGCTAACCTGTGCAGCCGCCTCCTCCTCCATCAAATCCGGTGCATCCGTTGCTTCCCTTCCAAAATTGGTTGCAAAAACGAATTCCTCTCTATCTCCTCTACCTAATCCCCAAGAAACCCCCACCAAATTCGTTATCTATCCCACGAATTTTGGCCGTTTTTATCCGGGTGAACTCGGGATAAGCCCGAATCTTCCTTCACCGAATTCATCCGTTCCCGAGCTGATCTCTCCCTCTTCCGGCTATAAATAGCAGACCCTCGGCCTCCTCTTTCGTTTCCTCCTTTTTCCCCAAGTTTTTCCTAACCCTAGCCACCTCCCCGCGCTCGTCTTCTCTCTCCGCCGCCGGCAACCGCTCCAGCCGCCGTTTGTCGTCGCCTCGACCGTCGCCCTCCTGCGCCGCCACCTCTCTCGGCTCCGCAAGGTCAAGCTCCACCCCGGCCGACGGTTCTTTTGTGCCGAGTTCCACCGGAGGTTGCCCGCCGCCGTGAACCAGTGGGTTGCCACTGGGTTTTGGTCTCCAGCCGCGCCGGTCGTCGTCGTCCATCGTCGCCTTCGGTCGTCGTCGCCGTCGTTGGATTCGCAAGGAGAAGAAGCCCGGCCACCTGTTCCTTTTCGTTGTAACCCGCTGGAATCCCCTCGTCGACGTGAAGCCGATCTACTCCACCTCCGGCCGAGCCTTGCCGTCGACTTCGTGGTTGCTGGACATCGTCGTCGTTTTCTTCGGCAACGTAGCGCCAAGGTGAAGCCCGTCCGCTGGTTTTTCTCGTGTTGGTAAGAATCGTCGCGTCCTCCTATTCCTCCTTGTGCTCTCGGTTTCCGCCGTCGTGCAGCCGTTCGCCATCGCCGTCGTAGCCTAGGGTCGCCGGCCCTCGTGCTCGCATGGCAGTGCGTGTGCTTGCCTTGTCATATGTCCAGTTAGTCACCTATCTCTTTTTAATGGCATATTAGGTCTTTTTACTAAATATCGTCAACTAAATTCATTCCAGTTTTTAGTCTTATATCTTATTATATCTCAGTTATAAATTATTTATAAATTGTTAAATTAATTTGGAATATTTTTTTTCTTTAATAGGCTTTAATTGGAATTAATCTTGTAAAATTCATAACTATTTTATATGTAGTCAGAATGAGGCCGTTCAAGTCCCTAAATTTATTTAAAATCATGATCTACATGTTTGTTTACTTTATATGTACTTTTTATTTGGTTTTTGTTAGTCTTTTTCTCCGTTTTGTGTGTTAGCTTGTCGTTTCCGTCATTGCGAAGGTTCGTTAGTGCGTCGGAAGTGGTTCAGAAGACTAATTGAAGACCGATTATTGCAAGGCAAGTCACACAGATCCTAAACACAATCCTTTGAGCATGTTGATCCTATATTTAAATTCTCTATTTATTTCAACTGTGCATTTATTTTTGAATGTCACCGGGTGGAGTGAACATATTCCTTTGTTATGGCCAATTTGAATTGAATACCCTATTCCTCGATACCTTGGGTAATAAATTGATTAGCTTGAACCTTATATATTGGTTTGGTTCAGCTAAATGCTATATATATATATATATATATATATATATATATATATATATATAATTGCTTAGCCATGCTTAGAAACATTAGCTCATTAAGGGGATAAATCATACTACATTATTACTTATGGTTATATTTAATAGTAGCTCACGATGGTTAATCGTGTTATGATAATTAATTGATAATTGAAATTTGACAATGGTGGGTTGTGAGCGCATGGTTTTGAAGGTCGTGCTCATGACAATTAAGGACCGGTTCACGAGCTACTGGTGTGAGACATTAACCGTACTAACCACAAGTCAGAATGGGCAACGGCTAGACACTTTGTATAGCAAGGCTTATTGTGGTGAGCCAGACTGAGAAGCGGTGAGAAGTCCGTGGGGGTCGCTGGGGAGTTCATGCCTCTGGTTTTTGAGGGGGTGATTATGATCCAGGAAAGGTGCGCTGCTTTGAGTTGAGCTATATGAGGGGTCTTGTCACAACTACACAAATGGTGACATGTTCAGCATGGGCACATGGTGATAGGGTGACATATTGTGGAGTTGTGTCTTGTGGGTAAATTTGTACACATCTGGCCAGAGTAAAACTATTCGAATAGCCGTGCCCGCGGTAATGGGCGGGTTGAGCAATGTTTTTCGTGAGTAGTCTCACATCTCTCACAATAACTATTGATGCTATAACTGGTAATAATTTGCTTAGCTCCTGGTTTGGAGTTAGATCTGTACAGCCGGGTATGGTTGTTCAGGATGGTTGGGCCTGAGCAGCATGGGTGTGCTGTTCAGTGTTGATTAAAGTTGATGAATAATTACTCTACTGTTTTACTTCTAAATGTTTGCTAAATGCTGCTTTTGCAAATGAGCCTATATTATGCCATCCTTTGGTATCCATGTGCACTTGCATATTTGCTGTGTGGCTTGCGGAGTATATCATATGCTCACCTTGCAATAATCAATCAACCTCAGTTGAAGAAAAAGGATCTAGAAGGAGAAGACGTTTGGCTTATACCCCAGTTGAGCTGCCTGTGGGAGTGGAGCCGGAGCTTCGCTAGACCGTTAATTCCGCTGCTGTTTTCTTTTCTTTTTTAAGTATGTAACGTTATTATTATGATGGATTTGTATATTAAACTGTCAGTTTGTGTATCTCGGCTGATTTCTGTACGAGGATTTTATGCACAAATTAGTTCGGAAATTACAAGTGAATTTCCAGGCGTGACACCTCTCCCGGTGCCCCACGAACTTAACATCTCCTGCCCCTACCCCTACA